GCAGATTTCTTCAATTGTACCGGCTGCAGATGGAATGTGGAGACAAAATTGTAAAGTAGCGAACTATTGAAGAACTCAAACACCCGAAAGGGCAACCTTTTTGCCCAAAACGTTTGCACCATGCTTTATGGCCCGAGGGATCTTCTGTTTTGTCAGTGACACAGCAAGCTATTTATACACTTTATAAATATTCGCTCGACGTTTGATTTGATCTTTTTTACCTGTTCTGCGGTTATCAGCACAACTATGGTGATATTTCCCTCTTCGTTAAGTGCCCGCTGTTTTCAAATATGGCACAGCTGTCTGGATCAAGGAGCGAAGTGAACTTGCGAGAGGTACTATCGATCGACGGGATGGGATCTCGATTATGCCGAAGTCCCTGGAGGCCAAAACTAGTTTGTTATTCGGAGCAGAAGGGGAGGAGCCTTTTTCAACAATCACTAATTTATGTATCCTTCTGTTTATTTTTTCACCGCGTAAATCTGCATAGCTTTAACGCTCTCGTACGTGGAGCTATTTGTCGATATACTATTTACTTTTGTCCAAACCCTTGTTTCATATTTGGTCGAGTCTGAAACTCTCTTTCCAAGTACTCGACAAAAAAGCTGCTACAAAATTCTACGGACAAGTGTAATATTTTATTTGACTTGCATGCTGATAACGTTATTTAACACATTTGTTATTTTGTGGAACAGGAGTTGACCTTTTGTTGCTATGGCAATATACAACAAATCTCTCTATTCATTACAAATTGGGTAAGGAATAAATACAATCATGTTACAAATTAATTTTAAAGCCCGGAAGCGACTGTTTGTCTAACAGGCGTTTCATTTTACTCTGTAACCATTAGAACCGAAAACCTTACAAAGAAAACGTATTAGAAATAAATTCACAAATATTGACTGTGTGCTGTCTAGCAAGGGAAATAATTCAAGTTAATTAGTGATAATCATAGTTCATCAAAATTTTCTCCAAACAATCTTTTAGTTTCATTTTATTTCAATTTATCAAAAAGAGTGCTTTCATTCACAACTTCTTTGAATTTTCAAACTTTGGAAAAAAGATCCATGAGCAAATTGATCCCACAATCTAGTGATCCTTTTCAATGATCTTGTTTGTTTTAAATTTTAATCTTACAATTATTGTAAGTTAACTGTGATTAATACTTTACAATTTAAAATTTTAGAATTCTTGCCAAAGTCTTCAATTAGTGGTGTTAAAACTGCTAGCTAGCATTTTATTGATATTAAAATAAAGTTATTATTAGTAATGAAATAAAATAAAATTTGAATTATGTTTTAATATTTGAAATAATATTTGAATTACGTTTAAAATAAAATTGAATTATGTCGTTTTGGGGACGAAACTTTTGAGAGCTTGTATCTCATACAGATATTGAATTAATTCACTGACGTTAGAACAGTTTTCAATTGAGTGTCAAAAGTAATCAGGAAATTACTTCGGTTTTGGCTTTGGTTTAACTACAGTTTGAGATTGGCCAGAAAATAGCCATACTTCCCCTACAGAAGGAATTGGTATTTCCTGGGAGTGTGTGATTCTGTGAGACCAAAAAATGTAAAGAAATGTATGAAACCTAATAATTATTGGAATTTCCAGATGGCTGGCGGGTTTATAAAAAAATCCCTTCTGTCGGGGAGGTATGGATATTTTCTGACATGCATGGAAACTAGCTAGTCTGAGATAGGGCAGGGGTTATTGGTGCCTAGTTTAGAACAGGGTTGCAAAATCAAGTTCATCATAGGGTAAGGCTGTATTTAGGTAACACCATTTATATGGGAATACCAATAAATTGTTGTTGTTGTTGTTGTTGTTGACAGGCTCCATGCTTATGATCTTATTCAGATGACTTGCTTGCAAGTCTTACACAGTGGTGCCTAAACAGTGTTAATTTTTGCCGTCAAATGGTACAAATATTGAGTATGGTGGACACATAAGGAATCTCTTAAAGAATCATGCTAAAAGAGCTTGTAATACAAGCCAGACAACATAATAAAAGTTTTAATTGAAGCAAAAATGGAGCAGAACATGCAATGTTAAATAACATCAACATCATACTGTTTTTTCAACTAATTCTATACTTACTAACTTGATAAGCTACTTTTTGCTACTGTGGAGCTTTAGAATTAAGTAAAGGGTCACTACATTTTAATGAAAATAGATGTCAATTTGTCATTGTTTAGACTTATTGAAAAAGTTTAGTTTAAGGCCATGTAGCTAATATTGCAAGTAAATTCCAAATTTAAAAGGTTGCATTCCTTTTGATGCATGTTAGTAATGATAATCATAAAAGTAAAAACTCATTTATTTGCGATGTAATAAGGTAATGCCTTATGGACTATAATTTGGCAAATAGATAACTTCTGCATGAATTCATTGTTAGATGGTCTGTGTTTGAAAGTGTGCATAAACATTAAGAATTTTAGTTTACATTCCCTATTAAAGACAGAATTTGATTCTTTCACATGGTTGTCTGGCTATGAGGGTTGAGAATTGTATCAAGATTTACCACACCTAGAATTCAGAACTGGCCAGTCAGAACGTCTGCGGTCATGATATCTTATGATATCAAGGGCCGCACTGACCTGATAAACCCGGATTCAGGTATGGTAAATATCCAATGATAAATCTTTTGTATCATTCAGTGGTGTAGCAGGCGAGTTTAGTGGAGCCATGGTTCATGCTTTGGCAAGACACAAGAAAGCCAAAATGGGAATCATGGTTCAACCAAACTTGTCTGATATGCAGCTGAAGATACCAGAAAGGTGTAACTAGGAATAAGTATGACAAACACTGCAGAGCCATTATACTGACTATGATGGCAAATTCGGCCACCTACTCCATCAATAGAGCTGCCTACAGCAAAACCCTGTGACAACCCTCTGCATAACCTTTTGTTTCTTGATGTTCCTGTTGCTGTCTTTCAGACTACCTCAATTTGTCAATACTGATTTTTGACGCAGAATAGATTCACAGTGACAGGTTATGCTTTTTGTAAGTCTCTGTGTAGTCTAGGCTCCTTCGCAGCCATTATTAGGGTCCTGTTGCGTGACGACCCTAATAACGGCTGCAAAAGAGACTATGTATAGTTCACCGGACCTTCACATGGGCCCTACCATGTTGATTTATCCATTTATGAAAAATCAAAGTCATCTCTGAGGTCACTGTACTCCAAGACATGCTTCCTTATTTTTGAGGTATCTGTCCAAGTAACAAAGTCCTCCATGTTCCTGGTAACAAGAAAAGCGGGATCCATTATGACTTCGGGCCCAACTCTCACATGACCTTGTTCAATGTACTTCACCGCATCTTTGATAGCTTGAGCCATTCTCAATCGCACCATAACAACAGGCAAGCGCCGCCGACAGAGCGCAGAGGCGCTTAGCTTATCGCACAAAGACAAGTTGTTTTTAGCTTTGATTAAGCCAAGTGAGTACAATTTCTCCAACAACTGTTCTGTGGCTTCGCCTCGAAATGGATCTTTAGGATCGAGCTGTTTAATTTTCGCGGCGAGTGATTTCGCCATCCCACAAACTTTGTTGTATTTGGTGTAATCTTCTCTCTTCTGGATGTGGTACTTTCGAAGCACCTTCACTTCGCGTATGTTATTGTCGCTTTTCCATGAAATAAAGTCGACCTTTTTCAAGAGTTTCTTCTCGTGAAATTTCAGTTTTCTCACCATTTTCACAACACGAGGAGAAACAACTAAACCCAGTCCTTTCGCTTTTGAACGTAATACCGCTGGCTACAAACTACCGTAACAATCTGAGTCCCAGGCTCTTCTCTGCTTTCGAATCCAACATGGCGGTCGGTCCTCGAGAACTGGCGTGGTAACAAGCGAGAGAAATGTTGTATCTTGTTGGTCTTGGTTTAGGAGATGCCAAGGATATCACGGTTAAGGGACTAGAAATCGTTAAAAAGGCAGACTACGTCTTTCTGGAAGCATATACCTCCATCCTTTGTGTGGGAAAGGAAGTGTTGGTAGGTACTCAAAGTACTCCTACATATCAAATAAGAATGGGGGAAAGAGAGGAAGATGTAAACAGGGCAATCAGGGTGCAAAGAGAAGTAATTTTCGGTCTTTCTCTTCAGGCAAGCTGTGACTTTAAATTAAAGTAATACGATAATTTCATCACTAACAGTGCTTCTTTAATTTGAATTTCCTCGAAAAGCTTTCTAGAAACTTACTGATAATATATTGATCAGTCCCTATTTATCTTTAAAATATATTTCAGGAAGAATTTTATGGATGCAAAATCGAGTTAGCTGATAGGGAAACTGTGGAACAAAATTCTGGTGGGTAGTTTATCCTTTGACAATGTTGTTGTTCGTCCTTCGTAGTCGAAGATGACCAAAGACATCTAGTTTGTTAATAAATTTCTACGGTGTGTCTGGAGGTGGCTGATGAGACCAATCCGGGCAAGGAAGCCTCTCCCACAGGTAGGGCACAAGTGGGTAGGGGCTGTGCTGTTAGTGCTGGCAGCTCTTTCCTTGCGTACTGCTCGCTTCTCCTCGGCTTGACTTGATTGATTGATTGATTGATTGATTGATTGATATACAGATTAGTTTGAGCAATATCACAGAGCTAAAGCTAACTTTTTTCTGTCCATAGATCTTCTTTTGGAGCATGCTAAGGACAAAGATGTGGCTTTCTTGGTTGTTGGAGATCCATTTGGGTGAGAAAGGAGCAACATTTGTTTATAGAAATATGACAACCGAGTAATAAACTTGAGAAACTGTCATTACTATCACAGTCTCTGAACTGTAGATGAAGTACAATCACTGAATATTTCCTAGTGTTTCAGACCATAAGGTTTAGAATCATCATCATAATATTGTTTTGAGGCAATATATTAGAGCCCAGTTCATACTATAGAGCATCCAGTTTAGTTTTTGTGGAATGTAAGATGGGAATTAAAATTAAGGTGGGACTTGACCGATACTTGACATGTTGAGGGCAGGATATGGGATAAATAACCACAGTAGGGAATGGGATATACTGTATTTTGCAGTCATAGTGAAGAATGTTTGGAGTAGTTGAACGGGACAGTGAATCATGTGTTTTGAATTGTGTGGCTTTGCACCATGCCAACACAGCATACAAGCAAAAAAAATGTGATCATTGTACTTGGCAAGCCTTTTGAATGTCACAGACTGTAGTCTATCATTAATATGGAAAGTACAGATCTAATCTGATTCACCTTGCTGAAAGAGAGTTCCATCAATGATAAAATATGACAAGTTTAAAATAATAATTATTATAATTATTATCATTCAATGCATTTTTTTTCTTCCTTTCCACTGGCCGAGAGCCAACCATATGACCTGCACATAACTGCCTACAAATAATGGTCTGCTCATGTGTAGTGCTGTCTTAATGTGTTTTGCTTCAAACAGTATTGTGCTCATGCATAACTGTAACCATGATCTGTAGTGAAAAATGGCAGATTGCTCCCCTGAGCTGTCAGAGAGTGATTAAACAAGAAAACAAATGTGGTGATCGAATGATAAAATAATTATTGAACTCGGTTATTGCAAAATATCATTGTTTGTCAGGTCTCGCAGATCAATTATTTTCCTCAGCCTTCGGCTTTGGCAAATAACTGACCTGCTCTCCACTGACAAGTGACGATATGTTGCTCAAACTCATCCAATAATTATTAAATATTAATTTTTAGGGCTACTACTCACGCAGACCTCGTGTTGCGAGCATGTCAAATGAACATTCCTTACCAAGTCATTCATAATGCTTCCATTATGAATGCAGTTGGATGCTGCGGTCTTCAGGTAGTTATTAATTTTGCTATAGTGTAACTTTGCTATGAGTAGTTTGACCATGGAAATCATTTTATCGTGAAGATTTACCTTTTGTCCCTTTTCTGGAGGGGAAAGGCAATTGTCATGCATTTTGTGTTCTCCAGAACTTTCAGTCTAGTTTCTGAAATGCCATAGAAACATGGAAAATGTTGTCTATTTCTTTAATAATT